CAGTAGATATGGAGTTGCTTCAGGAAATCTATGTAGGCAAAACTTTGTGGCCAATGTGACAGATTACCACTAGCAAGAGGCAACCTGCAGACGCAAAATGGCAGATGGAGGCAGACAGACAGTAAAATTACAATCTGAAGGTGGGGAAAAGGAACACAAGCAGTGAAGTCTGCAGAGTGCAATTCTGTGGTGTGGCAACAGCTTTTGTGTGAGCAGTGTGAAGCTTTTGGTTCTGCATTGGGACATCATGAAACCACTTAGCAGAAAGCTTAATGTATGGGAAGGAATTAAAATTTCAGATTTACTTCTTTCTATAAGAAGAGAGGTTGTATTGGGATCTCTAGGATATGAAGCAGCATCTACACATCCGCAGACAGTCTGTTTTCAGAGGATATTAAAAAATATCCGTAATTATTTGTTGCATATTGATTAACCAAGATTTTGTTAAAAGTGACATGCAGGGAGGCAAACTTTAGTCCTTTAAAATAAATATCAGGGATTGTCTCAGACTATGTTACAGGAAAGGGAAGTGGTTGGCTACATATGATTTAGATGTTCCCTGTGAGTAGGCCATTTTTTTTTCCTTTTTTATTTCTTTTTTTTTCTTTCCCCAGAAGACTCATGACTATATTTTGTAATTGCAAGAGTGGGTTATGAAATCAGTAACTATTCCTTTTAAGTTTTGGAGCTAGATAGTCTTTAAGAAACAAAACCAAAACACAAGGTAGAAACCCAGAAGAGGGTACAGTTTTACAGCTATCACTTTCAAGATTATTACAAACTTCTCTGGCAGTAAAGCACAAGAATTCAGGCTGAGGTGCACGTCGTGCTTTAGAAGTAGCTGCAAGTAGTAGCTGGGGTGGGAGGAGTGTTTCTGATCACATTTACCATCTAGCTTCTTTCCTTTGACAGTTCATTCTGGCTTCTTGGTAGGAACCTCTGAAGCAGGTAGACAGTCTCCTACCACCCTCCAGTGGTTTGCAGAGCACAGTGCAAGTGTAATGTTCAGAAAGCATATTCAGAAAATAAAAAGGGGACTGGGGATATTTCAAGCTTTCTTCCCGGGATACACATTGTTGCATTGTGGATTTTTTTGGTGACTTGTGTAAAAGGCTTTGTGGTTGTTGGATGTTAGGAAGTGTTTTAGCACAGCTGTTCTGTGGGGCATAATGATAATCATGTGATTGCTTGCATTTGCAGGACACTAAACCATCTGCATCTGTGATGATTTCCAGTCTGTGATATTGCTGACAGGATTAAGGAATCTGTAGGTGGTAACAATCAGATGTACAACAGTGAAGGGGTGCTTTGGAGGAGGCTGGGCAAAAACTACAGTGTTTGACTGTCAATTTAGTGACTTGATAATTTGCAAGTCGTTATAAATGTCTCCTCTGGCTGTTACAGTCTTCCATTTCTTTCCCTCCTTCCGTTCTCTAGAGCACTTTAGGAGTAGTAACATATAAGTTCCAAGGAAAATTGGATCTGGGCACTTACTTTGTGTTATTTTTCTGTTCTTGGTGGCATCTGATACTCTATCCATGACATGTCACAGTGTCATCAACCTGATACTTGTACGTTTTTCTAGATCACTGATGAAGATAATAAAACATGATGCAACTTATTTTTATCTTGCCACCATGACTGTAGAGAGCCATGAGAACTGCAGGAGCTTCAAAATACAGCAGGGGTGAATTTATCAGTGGCTAAGGAGGCATTAATGTGACATGGTAGCATCTGCCAAACTTACCCACCCAACTCTAGGCTATATCGAGTCCTGGACTATAAAGCACAAGTAAAAGGGGCTGATGCATTCATTGCTCAATATATTATTGTCTCATAGCCTTTGCAATGTTTATTTCATGTGACTGTTCTTTTATCCAAGCAAGTTTGTGCTATCATTAACAGATAAATTTTTGATTTAAGCCTATTGCAAAAATCCTAAAATAGTGAATTTCACTTTTCTGCTCCAGGGCAATTTAAATTGCTAGCTTATCTACTAATATCACTTGTCTAGTAGAGAGTGGCAGTAGTCACATAGTACTTTCTGTTCGGCCAAGCTAAACTACATGAGTAGAACAGAAAAATTACCTCAGCTACCACAGCGATCACCAGGAGTAGAGCACAAAGTTTAACTGAGTTTCCCCTTCTGAGCTCAGCCCATCATGACTGGAGTTGAGAGGAGAACTGGGACTGCAGCTAGGGCAGGGCAAAACAGAAGCATGACTTTGGGAGACACTAAACTGTAAAATGCTCCCAAGTACTCTCATCCCCCTGTGCCTGTCCATGTGAGCAGGAGTCTCTCCTTGGTCCTTTCTTGTATCCCGACCGGGAGTATGAGCTGCTCTGCACAGTCTTCCAGTTCTGTAACCACCCACGCCCTAGTGGCCTTTCCTGGTCTCCTGCCAGCCTGCTTATTTCTGGCGTGGTAACGTGTGAGTGGGTAGAATAGACACACAGGCATGCTGTCTTGTGGGAGAAGAAAAGGGGCCAGAGAGAGGAAGCAGAGTCCGGTAGGCCTTGGCTTGCTTTCTGGCTGGATTTGATCATAGGATGTTAGCTGCTTTAGCCCATTTCTGTTAGCTCCCTCTCCTCATGTACATTTTTTGTAAATGTCAGCAGAAGTTTCTGAGCTTTTTCCTTTATTTATCTATCCTGCCTGTTGGCCGTTTGTTTTTTGTCTTTTTTTTTTTTTTTATTCTACCTTCAAAATGTTTACATTTAGAGTAATGGGACCAGGATTCTTCTTTGACTTTAAAATTCCATGAAAAAGCTTTATTTGACTGGGCATTCAGACTGACACTCTAAGGCTTTTGTGTATGTTACAGAGTAAAATGGCTATAATGAGACTGCAGGTATACGTGACAATGAAAATTTAGCACAGAATCTTCTCTCCAGTAGACAAAAAAGTGTAGCATCAGAGTTGAGATGACAGAAAATTTCTATTTAAGAAGACAATTCATTCTTCTTTAGGTTTGACGTTGATCTGTCACAGGTAAGCGAAGGGTTAAGGTAAAATCCTTTTTTCCATCTGGACAAAGACAACTTTTTCTTTGCAAAGAAAGCCTGCTGCAAGGCTTGAATTGAATTTTCACTGCAAAAAGCATGAAAGTCTCCAGGTCAAATGCTGTGTAACTTGGTGACTGTAATGATATGGTAAAACTGTGATGATAATGCCACAGTCTGTCTGGTCTGACCACTGAATACTACCTACATGAACTACGAAATGTTCTGGGTTTTTGATTTATTACCTTTTATTAATGTCTTCCATTTTCCAGACTGCTATCTAAAAACCAGCAAGCTTAGTTTTCACTCCTAAGTAGATGTATCAGAAACTGAAATGAGGTATCAGCTGGTAAATAAACTGTTAGCTCTGTCTCTTTGTGTATTACTCAGGAAATATTTCAGTTCTCTAAACATTTACTTAATTATCGTGTTTGTAAGATTCTGGCAAGGGCTAGAAAATGCTCCAGAGATTGTGTTTTGAGGCAACAGCTCTGAAATGTGCAAGCTTCAACTGCCATTAAAGACTGAAATTTGTTTGGCCTGGTATGTCCTGCTCTAAAACTAATGGCAGGAAGAAGCATTTCTGAGCGTTAGCCTCCCTGGTGATATTGCATTGACATTCCTCAGCTTTTACTGCAGTTGTGCTCCTTTGAAACGTGAGCAGACAGCAAATAGCGTGCAGACCAGAAGAATGGCCTTATTGGTTCAGGTTAAAGTCTATAGCTCAGATGCGATCTCCACACTAGCCATAAACAATGTAGCTATCTCCCAAAAATTTTTAAAATTTAAATTTAAAAAAAAAATTAAAAAATAAAAAAATAAAAACCCCCAAACAAACAGCCAACTGGAACAAGGAAAACAAAGCTAAACTCATACCTTCAAAGTAAATTTATACCACCTCAGTGCTCTCAAGTGGCCAGGGTTTTTGACCCAGCCTTAGCATCTGGAAACTACTTGGAGTCGCAGCCAGAATGTCCTAAAGGTCGGTGTAAGGTCGGGCATCTTTGCTGTCCCGGTGGGCAGCACTGTGGCTTGCATGCTGAAGCACGGTTCAGTCTTGGGTTAGCAGGACTGCAGAGAGGTGGCACTGTTGTACTGTAGTTTGTGCTCGTTTCGTTCACCAGATGCTAGCCATGGACTCCGAGATATTCATCGGAATCGAGGCATTTTGCTTTTAAATGTCATAGTCTTTCATCTGTTTTCAAAGGCAAGCATTTTAGTAGAGCAAGGTTTTGTTTTAAAGGAGTGATGAAAACAATGCCTTCACAAGCGAGATTAAAAAAAAAATTGCCTCAAGAGTTGCTTTGTTCAAATGCAGAGAATAGCCTATTTCATCTTAAAATACTTAACTTAAACTGGGATTTAGTGCTGTAATTCACAAACATATGATGGATTTAGTGCCATAATTCACTAATATGTGCCTGGAAGATCCTTCTTGCATTCCTGTGCCTATTTGATTGCTGTCATGTACTACGTTTCCACATAATCATCTTTTCAAGTTTATTGAATTCAATGCTGAATGCAGTTGTGTTTCTTATGCTTTTATTTTATGGGAAGACTGTTCCACAACAGCGTTCCTCTAATTTTAAGCAACTGAGAATAGCTGAGAGTAATTTAAGTATTACAAGCTAATGTTTGGGGGTTTTCTTCTGTCATCACCAGAAGTGCGCATCAGGTAAAGTTAAAATAAATACTCATCTTTTTACCTGTCTATTAACGTGTTATGGGTGTACTGCAATGAAATTACTTTAGATGTCATTCGCAAGCAGACAGAAACAGAACTCTTCATTCCTCCTTATCTGTGAAAATGAGATCATTACAAATTTTAGTGACAATGCACATACTACTGTAATGCAATGTGTATTGTCAAAATAAAAGCACTTGTTACTTTTATTACTGCTTGGATTTTTGGTAGAAAGAGCCAGAATGGCCTAATCAGTTTATTGCACAATATTACAAGTCTGATTTTTTTTATTACTTTTTTTTTTTTATTACAGTGGGAGAAACTACAGATGACAACAAGTGAGAGGAGGAAAATAGTTTGTTCAGTCACATTCCACGTAATTGCAATTACCTGTGTTGTTTGGTCATTGTATGTTTTAATTGATAGAACCGCTGAGGAAATTAAACAAGGCAATGATAACGGTAAGTATCTTTTACCTTCTTCAATCTTGTTGATAATGCAGTGGACGGCTTTGAAAGGCAGCTATGTAACCAGTCGCAGTCTGTTCTTAAATAACAGCTCACTGATACATGGCTACATCAAATGCTTTAATGCAGATGTAATGAATGCATCAGTGTTAAAAGCTTGTGTTATGCCTCTGCAGAGAGACCTCTACTTAGTGTAATCATTACAACAGCTTAACTAGCCTGCTGGTTCTTCCTTGGTTAATCTCCCATTATCTAGCTATTTCTAAGGCTCAGACAAAAAGATGAGTCAAATTCAAAGAGCTCAGTGCAAGTTCAGGTCATAAAATAACAATTTATTTGTATTACCCACTTGAACCTTGATATCCTTTAAAACACGATAGATCCCTTTCATCAACAAGCTTCCTAATACGAACTTCCAAGAGACCGTGTTCCAGTTGTGTTAGTCCTTTATGTGGTACTTAAATAACATGGAAAGCCATTCCTGTGTCCTTTCAAATAGAATTTCACCATCACTGTCCATGTTCCAGTTGTGTTTATTGTGAGGGCAGTGGAGTCTCTGTCTGTGGAGATACTGAAAACCCAACAGGACATGTGTAACAAAACGCAAGTTTAACATAAGTAGGTTTCTTTTTTGGACTATACTTATCATATGTGGAAACTATATTCCAAACTGAACTACTGTTTTCCATTTCAAATCTAAGTGTATTCAGTCTTAAATTTAGTCTTAAATATGATCATCGTGATGATGAAGAGAATAAAAAGCTTTGAGTTTTCACCTGAATTGATTTTAAGCACAGTAGAGGGACAAAGGTCTCTAGCTTTGTGCTATGATCTGAAGTTAACATGGAAAACAAAACAGGTGGAGCTCTGTGCCTTGCTAGTTAGATAAATATTTGATGATACTCCTGATGCTTGCCTTTCTTGCGTATGAAAGGAAAATAGGTAACAAGCCTCAGTAAGTCACAGACAAATGTATACTACAAAGCCTTGTTTTGCATTCTTTCTAAGTGGGTAACCCTGTTTTTCATCTCAAAAAACCCGGCCCTGAGGACAGGACTAGGAATGACTTTGAACTTCTATTTATGAGTACAACTATATCACCCTACTCATTAAAAAGGGAAAAGGTATGTCTGTGGATTAGCTGAACTTACACAACGAAACAGCCAACATGATTTTTTGTTGTTATATAGAATGCATAAGAATCACATTAATTAACACTGGTAGGCTCAAAAAGTATTTACCATTTGTATAGAATTCAGTGCTTGCCAAATGTAACGGATGATTCTCCACACTAAAAAATGGGCAAAGAGATGCCTTGGAGCTAGTTACAACATGAAAAAAAAAAAAGTGTTTGTGAAGAGAAG